TGTCTGTCCTGTCCAACACCAAGCAAGGGCAAGGGTTGTCACTCTCAGACTTTTGCGAAACATGACTTTGTGGTGGGTTAGCCTCTAATGGTTATCATGGTTAAAGTTGCTATTTGTCACACTCAAGTCCTTGGTTCAGTTTCTCTGACAAATGCATGTGTGAAGCCCATTCTCCAGTATCCCCTAAACCATGACATTGGTTGAAATATTGCACAATGTTAGCTGCATCATACCTTCCTCACATCTATTCTGAATCCACTTCTCTACCATAGCTTTAGGATCCACAGGAGCAAAACCAAGCAATAAATTCAACCACACTCATCTGGGTAATGAAATTCTCCTCTTGAAGTTGCAAATATGTTTCTTTACATCACTTTTAGCAATATCATGGCAATATCATGGTAAAAGGACCACAGAAATGGGCTTCACACATTGTAAAATCTGTGATGTGGAATCGGAACCTGATTTTCAGCTGACGAAAGTGGACTCCTTTAAATCATTACCCCATTCCCATCCCTCTCTCTGGGAGTGAGAATCCATTGAACCACCCTCTGGATCTGTAATGATGAAAGAGACTAAGAAGGTCTGTGGTCTAGTTTCAGTGGAAGTCATCATTGCACAACAACGACTGTCAGTAAGTAAGTCCATGTTAACCTGTGAGATGAGAGCAGCGATAGCCGTATTCATTATGATCGCAGTGAAACATGACATAGGGTATTTATCGAGCAAGTGGGATCTATTAAATTGGGACACTCTTGAACTCTTTGAGTCTTGATATTTGAACACATATCATTCTCTCAGAAGTAGACCAGTGATTATGTTGATGAGGTCTTCCTCACTCTTTGGCTGTAGGCTGGATATTACCACATAGTTGTTTTTCTTAGTGTCAACAGCATGGAATTCATTTCCATACCTTCACTACACTCATTTCGAACATTGTGTTGGGTATCATTGTTAAGAATAAATTCCTAATGCTTTGTAAAATTATTATTTCACTCTCACAGGAAAACAGTCTACACACTCAGCTTTGAGTTATTAGACAAGTCAAGTAAACATCTGCTGAAGATGTTATTTTTCATTAACAGTGTAGACATATTGATACCATCATAAACACAAATCCTATATCATCGCCTTCCTACAAGTTTAACCCGTTTCCTTAAGTTATTACTTTGAAGTTTGGCTTTTGAAACCTTCTTCTCAAACTTAGCCTAAAGTTTTTCCTCGACTTTGGTGGTCCCATCTGTGATAGATACCCTGAGATGACTCTAGGGACAGAAAGATTGTAAACACATACACATTAATTCATTCTATTACGAATAGATACTGAATATCATATAGCTGGCAGACAGAGAGAGAGAGATTGTAGACATACACATTAATCATTCTTAGCATGTAAATAGATAATATCAATATCGCCATTGCACAGAGAGAGATTGTAGACATACACAGAGGGCTGGATATTTTGATATCACCCTGGTACAAAAGAAAGACTGTAAACACATACGTCAATCCTTCCTACATCCCACCAAGTTGGAATATTACTGAGAGCAGCATTGAACACTCCAAACAAATGAAAATCCAAAACAGATGTTCCACCTTTTTCTTCAATCCCTTGATTGTACTTTCCCCCTTCGGATGTCGAATATCTTCAGTGATCACACTTTCCCAGTCAAACTTAGTTTTTTTCTGTCTCCTCCTCCCTCTCTTCAGGCTCATATGGTGCTTCCTCCACCTCATCTTCCTCCATCCTCTTCCTCTTCTTTCCCCTGACTCTCAACCTGCTCTTCCTCACGCTGCCGCTTTTTCTTCTTTCTTGACTCTCGATTGCTCCTTCTGTTGGTTCCTCATCTTCATCGGCCTGGCTCCACCTTCCTGTCCTTTTCTCCTTTTATTCATCTTTTTCCTCCTTTCTTCCTTTCCCTTCTCTTACCAGTTTCCTGCTGCTCTCATGCGAACCATTTTCACTGACACCTGCTTTGAATGTTTGTTGTGTCAGTGTTTTCTCAGCTTCCTGCTGCTGCCTCATTGTGATCTTGCTTTGTCTCTGAGCAGCTATTGAAACAAGAGTTAGTGAGTGAGTGAGTTTCACACCACCCGAAAGCAACATTCCGTTATATATGCCTAGGTCTGTAAATAATCAAGTCTGACTAGACAATCCAGGGATCAACATAAACATCGATTCACGCGAATTAGGATAATGATGACAAGTGTCAACGAAGTCACCTTCACAAGTATGGGTCACTAAGATCAATTCTAACCCGATCTTCAGGGTGAGTGAGGAATACCACATCTTAGCCATGCAAGCTGAGGGATATGGAAGATGCTAAAAGATGGCAAACAGTTTACATATAGTTAACATGCACGACATGTACAATATTGAGACTCCAGCATCATTGTATGTATGGTATCGAGATTCAAGGAACAAGATATGTTCGGCATCATGGATCTTAACTCATAAACGCAGTATGATATCATGATTCCATGATTATGATATGTATGATGATTCAAGCATTGAGATATCAATCATATGACCTCATATCATTAACATATATATATCATGATACAAACATAGTATTGTTTATTGAATCACTATTTGCATATTATGATATGTATGATAATTGTTCCTCAAGCATTATGATATCTATGATAACCTTTTAATTAAGCATTGTGATACGTGATATCAATACTCAAGCATCAGAATATGTATATTGTGACCCAAGCATTGCTATATGTGATATATCATGACAAGCATTATGATATGTATGATAATCATGATCTGCCATCATTGTCAAAGGTGAGTGAGAGTGAGTTGATATTTTACACCGCGACTCAGCAACATTCCAGCCATGGTCCAGAAATAATCAAGTCTGGACCAGACAATCCAGTTATCAACAGAAAGCATGAGCATCGATCTGGGAATTGGGAACCAATGACACAGGTCAACCAAGTCACGGTAGCCCGACCGACCACCCTGTTAGCTGTCTCCTTACCTATCGAACATAAATTACTGAAGATCAATATTCTAACCTCGACCTTCATCGGTCCATTATCATATATGTGATATTGTGGACAGTAGTCTTATCTTTGACACTGACCAGCACTAAAGGTGCTTATGTTTCAATCTCGACATCTGCCCATGCCAATATCTCACAGCTGGGGAGATTAAGCCTGATCAATGGATCCCGAGCTGTCCATCTGAAATTCCGAAACCCCCAAAAAGCAGCCATTGAATATACAATTACACATCATTAACCTTGTAATAGCTAAAATCCAACCAAACCGATATTCCCCTTCAAACCCTAAGCATGTCATATGCCATAGGACGATATTATTACAGTATTGATGGCGTATACCACATCCATACGAACTAACGAATAAAGCAAAACGAAACAAAATCAATAGCTCATTGACACAACAAATATTCACACGGCACATACGTAAAGATCACCACCGTTAAGACGGAGCTCGTGAGAAGGCAAACATTTCCAAATTACATCTATAAATATAGCTGCGAGCAGCGATAAAGGGCTCCTTGGATTTACTTCTTTGGAGCCTTTTGCATCTCTCACATATCTCATGAATGTAGTAATAGTATTAGTTAATATGAATCATATCACTGCTGGTCGAATGCTCTTCAATTGGAAGTACTGGGAGGTCTTTAAGTATCGATAAACTCATCACAAAACCTATTTTCGTAGATTAAATAATATCACTTAGGTATCATGAATATCCAAACGGAAGAACCCTTTGTTCAAACACAGTCAGAGAAACAAAATTTGATTGCCTGAACTAAATAATTTGAAAGGTTCTCTCAGTGACTGACATTATGTGAATTTAAATGCACTCCACATGTAGCCGACAAGTCGGATTCACGGTCAGTAAACACAACTCATGTGTCATTTTACCAAAAGAATGACATTTTATACCCCTTTATCATGGTGCATTGTCTACTGATAGAGGTACCTGGCGAAGTTGTGGTGCTGGATTTTTTCTGCACTGTTGGTAGACACCATTTCCATCCAAATATCATATCCCTTACAAAAGATTGAATTACAAATGAAGATATAACACCCTCTACTGACTGTATTTTCATTTTGTGTAACGCCATGGGTTTTTAGCACATAACACATGTTTATGCTCTCATCATTATTAGAAAATGATCAGCAAACGCTTGAGATACATACTGCAAATTTTCATTGTGCTCTAGAGAACCAATAAAGTTAGCAACTATACAGTGTATTCGCCACCACCGCCTCTTTCTGTAACCTAAGAAGACTCGCCCCCACTTCCATACTTGTTATAAAGCGAAAATACACAAACCAGTCAGAACGTATGTAATGAGCTGCCGTGCTTTGATAAAAATAATCCCGAAGTACTTTAAATCGCTACGGCATTATGTCATTGTTTAAACATCATGAAAATTATATATCGCCATATTGAAAGTAATGTAAGAACGTAGCTAAAAGCTGATTTTGCTGCCTATTATGAAGTTTTAATAAGAATCATGCATTGACGGCGTAGAGATTCCAATACACGCATCGCGGCGCTTGTTGACATCACTGCCCTATGGGTCCAACTGAGTGTATTTCTGACGATCTTCGGGCTTGTTGTGGAGATTGTACGCAAGCCTCACCAATTTTAGGGAAATGTAATTATAATCGCTATGAGTTTCAAAACAATAATATCGTGATTTGTATGTAACTAATAAACCTTAATCTTTAACATTGGGCTTATATTTCATAGCTCTGGGGATATTTTTAGTCTGAGTGTTTTTGGTCATTCATATTTTTCAGCTTAATTCATTTGAAATTTCACCAGGGTCTGACAGCAAGGTTACACGAATGTTCAGTTTGAGAAATATTTTGAAAGTCATTTTTGAGTATCTGCTTTGGATTTAATGTATCTGAAATTTGTCTTGCATATTCAATAATATGTTCATTTGTGATGATTAATCACTATTAAGAAAATTAACATAATTTGAAATATAAGGTGACAGCTGGTAATATTTACATTATAAATCTGCTTTAACAAATATGTTTTTCTCCTTCTTTAGTTGTATCAAAGAGGCTTAGTTCTTAAACCAAATAAGCAAAAACAACAACAACAAAACCTAGCAATACAATGTACATGTGCTTCGGTGATATTAAGAAACTTTGGAATCAAACAGGGTAGAGTTACTTTTTAAAGTAGTTCTGATGTTCATGCTAAATATGAAATCCTTCCAGAGGGGCACGAAGTCGCCATAACGGCTTGGTCCCGAATAACACGAAGTTGGTCACTTAATGTTTACAGTGAGGAAAAATAGAATGTCCTTGTCCCTCTGATGTCTCTTTGAAAAATACACTTAGACAAATTATTTGTTACTTCCAGTATCGCTTTGTTAGTTTGTGTTTAACCCGCCACGCTTAGACAGCTTTCGCCATTGTCAATTGAAATTTACATCGCTCCCCATATCTGCACGTGAGACCACGCTTTGCAGTAGTCTCTTTATAGGAGATATCGCCCCTTTGGCGCATTCTTTCAGACTGTCGATGCTTTGCATCGGTAATGTGCGCGCGGCCGTGAATGTGTGAGAAACTTTGGAAACATTCGGCAATGTATCCCTGGGGTCAGTCCGCGGATGTAAAGTACCGCCATATAGCTTGAATATTGCTGATCATGGGCGTAAAACTAAACTCAATCAGTCAGTCACACTCACGCCACGCGCAAGTGAACTTGTGATTACACAGCAGTAAAGGTACTTTCAGTAGTTTTATCAGTATCCATTACACTGTTACACTGGCTGCTGTTGCAACTGAATTTGTGAATCGAGAGCAGGTATATATACTGGAAATACACGCAAACCGCGATACAGGTCACCTATGAAGTTTTAAAATCCATGCAAACAGCACCAATTGTTAGTAAAAGCGATTACTCTTCGGCATTGCAAACCGAGCCGCATTTTACCAGCTTTACTTCAGCTAGACCAGAGTTACCCCTTAGACCACAGCTACAACTTTTACCATGACCGGCACGCTTCATTCATTGACCAATCTTTAAAAAGCTGCCTAAAGACATACCCCCTTAATAAAAAGACTGAATTTCAATGAAGATATAACACCTCTACTGCACTGTATTTTAATTTTGTGTAACGCTTGGGTTTTTGGCACATAACACCTAAAGCTCGGATCGAAAGAATCATATGTTTATGCTCTCATCATGAACAGAAAAATGATCAGCAAACGCTTGAGATACATACTGCAAATTTTCATTGTGCTCTAGAGAATCCAATAAAGATAGCAACTATACAGTGAGGAAAAATAGAATTTCACTTTGTCCCTCTGTTGTCTTTGAAAATACACTTAGACATACTATTTGTTACTTCAGTATCGCTTAGCTTGTGTTTAACCCACACGCTGGACAGCTCTCGTCATTGTCAATTGAAATTGACATCGTCTCCCATATATGCACGTGGACCACGCTTTGCAGTGGTAGTCTCTTTTTATAGGAGATATCGCCCTTGCGCTTCCTTCAGACTGTCGTGATGGTTTGCACCGGGTAATCTGTCGTGTTGTAAATGTCGACTTTAAACTTATGATACATTCGCAATGTATCCCTGGGTACCGTCGGTGATATAAAGAAGTCCCTATTTCATTAAATCTGTCCAAACTTTGGGGTTTTGAGTGTAAGTATTATTTTTGATGACTGGTACGTTCTTGGAAGCGTTTTTGCGTGATGCTTCGCGTGTTCTGCCTGGAGTTGTGGGTCAGTTTGTTTGGCACTCTTTTTCTTTCATTTGGGGCACGTCTCAAATAGTTTTTTACCTGATGTTGAACAGATGTTTTGATCAGTAACATTTATGGCGCTCTTCAAAGTTTGAAAGCCGTAGCGCTTGCAATGACTTTTGACATAGGACCAAGAACAGAAAATGTTCAACAACCAAAGGCAACTTCAGAACAAGCGTTTAAAGTGTTGTATGTGGTAAGTTTCGCTTTGGCACAAAATAGCAAAGTAGCCCGTGAAAGTTTTGAAGACAACTTTTGCCCAAAAGTAGCCCCAATATGGCGCCATCATATAAACATAGGCACATTTGACGATGCTACTGTGTAGAAACATGCATAGACACAAAGTATGCAACGCTTGAAAGTCGTAGTCCCTTGTAGTTTTAGTGCAGCACATTTTGGGAGGTATGCAGTCAGGATTCTGCTGAAAAACATCAACAAAAACTTCAATCCCAAATAGCGTCCCAAACGGTGCATTTTAGCTTAATTTGAGCCATTCAGGCTTAAATTGTAGGCATTTTGATTGCGATCTGCTCCAGAACTTTGGCAAACATTGGAGCATTAGTTACGGAGATATTTGCATTTGAAATTGAAATTTTGAATTAATTTTGAATTATCTGCCCTTTGCTATTGGGCCTACAGCCCATAGAGATTTAAAGCGCTGATATCTACACCTCGGGTGGGCATCTGGGTGATTTTTGTCAAGGCATTCTGTCCAGCGGTGCTCTCTGTAGCTCTGTTACAAAATACGGCGGAGGAATAAATAATAATAATAATAATAATAATAATAATAATAATACTAATAATAATAATAATAAAAACACGAACGATTAATAGGTCTCCTGCCTAAAAGGCAAAGGAGCCCTAATTAAAAATCGTTATTTTTGAGTTTTTCGGGGTTTTGACCCCGGAACTTGATAGAATGTCGAAAATGCTTTCTAATGGTCAAGGTCACCAAGGTCACGGGGGTCAAGGTCATTTGACTGGTCCATCACAAAACAAAACACGCTTTTTGGCGAAGCTAAGACGCCGCTTGTTATTACCTGTGTAGGTGACAGGAATTAATGTTTCTGTTTTGCCCAGACCCGATGTATCATATGCGCTACCGGTCAGATTTAGTGACAAATATGTCCGCCTTCACTGTCCGCATGTCTGTCCGGCCAAAAATACTGTATAGTTAGTATCTCCGAACTATGAAACGCGACAGAGTTGAGATTTTGCACACAGCATTCCCTTGACTGTGCCTAACGATGCTGTAAAAATCAAGCCATTTGAATTTCAAACTGTTGTTGCTATGGCAACCTGATAAATGAAAACTTCAATCCAAGATGGCGCCAAACGGCTAGAGATATCGCTTCTGGGACAACCAGACAAAAATGATCGGCATCTCATGACCAAGTCACATACCAAATATGGAAGCCGATTGGGGCAATAGTGGTGGAGTTATATGCTGTTTTGTGCCGCTTTTGGACTCAAAATGCATTTCTGCAATTTTCAATGCCATATGGCCGACAAACGCATCAAACTTTGATATGCATGTAAGAACACGAAATGTTAAGCATCTTATGTTGATGCATACTGCCAAGTTTTACTGCCTTCTGTGCAGAACTTGAGAAGCTATGCTGTTTATAATGTAGTATCATCAGAATCTGACGAATTCCAATATGGCCACCAAGCAATACACATTTTGACATACACCCAAGAAAGAAAAATGTTCAACACACTTAGTTACTATGTACTGCCATATTCTAGCTGCATAGTTGAAATAGTTATGACGCTTCGCGATTTTTGAAAATACATTTTTAGTACAAAGTAAACAACAGAAGCAAACATCTAGATATCCGTAGAACTAATTAAGATATCACAACATAGCTTATGGGCATCAATATTTGAGGTATATATTGTATATCTGCACATTTACAGCGCTCTGCAGTTCATACACTCACAGTTATGGATTGCTAAAAATGCCTACCCAACAAAATCTGCAAATTTCCATAAACATCTTCAATCCAATATGGCCGCCGTGATCACGTGACTTTTGACATAGGACCAAGAACAGAAAATGTTCAACAACCAAAGGCAACTTCAGAACAAGCGCTTAAAGTGTTGTATGTGGTAAGTTTCTGCTTTGGCACAAAAATAGCAAAGTAGCCCGTGAAAGTTTTGAAGACAACTTTTGCCCAAAAGTAGCCCAATATGGCGGCCATCATATAAACATAGGGCACATTTGACGATGCTACTGTGTAGAAAACATGCATAGACACAAAGTATGCAACGCTTGAAAGCCGTGAGCCCTTGTGTAGTTTTAGTGCAGCACATTTTGGGAGGTATGCAGTCAGGATTTTGCTGAAAAACATCAACAAAAACTTCAATCCCAAATAGCCCAAACGGTGCATTTTAGCTTAATTTTGAGCCGCCCAGGCTTAAATTGTAGGCATTTTGATTGGCGATCTGCTCCAGAACTTTGGCAAACATTGGAGCATTAGTTACGGAGATATTTGCATTTGAAATTGAAATTTTTGAATTAATTTTGAATTATCTGCCCTTTGCTATTGGGCCTACAGCCTAGAGATTTTAAAGCTCGATATCTACACCTCGGTGGGCATCTGGGTGATTTTTGTCAAGGCATTCTGTCCAGCGGTGCTCTCTGTAGCTCTGTTACAAAATACGGCGGAGGAATAAATAATAATAATAATAATAATAATAATAATAATAATAATAATAATAATAATAAAAACACGAACGATTACAATAGGTCTCCTGCCTAAAGGCAAAGGAGCCCTAATTAAAAATCGTTATTTTTGAGTTTTTCGGGGTTTTGACCCCGGAACTTGATAGAATGTCGAAAATGCTTTCTAATGGTCAAGGTCACCAAGGTCACGGGGGTCAAGGTCATTTGACTGGTCCATCACAAAACAAAAACACGTTTTTTGGCGAGCTAAGACGCCGTTGTTATTACCTGTAGGGTGACAGGAATTAATGTTTCTGTTTTGCCCAGACCCGATGTATCATATGCGCCGGTCAGATTTAGTGACAAATATGTCCGCCTACTGTCCGCATGTCTGTCCGTCAAAATACTGTATAGTTAGTATCTCCGGAACTATGAAACGCACAGAGTTGAGATTTTGCACACAGCATTCCCTTGACTGTGCCTAACGATGCTGTAAAAATCAAGTCATTTGAATTTCAACTTTTGTTGCTATGGCAACCTGATAAATGAAAAACTTCAATCCAAGATGGCGGGCCAAACGGCTAGAGATATCGCTCTGGGACAACCAGACAAAAATGATCGGCATCTCATGACCAAGTCACATACCAAATATGGAAGCGATTGGGGCAATAGTGGTGGAGTTATATGCTGTTTTGTGCCGTTTTGGACTCGTAATGCATTTCTGCAATTTTCAATGCCATATGGCCGACAAACGATCAAACTTTTGATATGCATGTAAGAACACGAAATGTTAAGCATCTTATGTTGATGCATACTGCCAAGTTTTACTGCCTTCTGTGCAGAACTTGAGAAGCTATGCTGTTTATAATGTAGTATCATCAGAATCTGACGAATTCCAATATGTCCGCCAAGCAATACACATTTTGACATACACCCAAGAAAGAAAAATGTTCAACACACTTAGTTACTATGTACTGCCATATTCTAGCTGCATAGTTGAAATAGTTATGACGCTGCGATTTTTTTGAAAATACATTTTAGTACAAAGTAAACAACAGAAGCAAACATCTAGATATCCGTAACTAATTAAGATATCGAAACATAGCTTATGGGCATCAATATTTGAGGTATATATTGTATATCTGCACATTTACAGCGTTCTGCAGTTCATACACTCACAGTTATGGATTGCGAAAAATGCCTACCCAACAAAATCTGCAAATTTCCGATAAACATCTTCAATCCAATATGGCCGCCGCATCACGTGACTTTTGACATAGGACCAAGAACAGAAAATGTTCAACAACCAAAGGCAACTTCAGAACAAGCGTTTAAAGTGTTGTATGTGGTAAGTTTCGTTTGGCACAAAATAGCAAAGTAGCCCGTGAAAGTTTTTGAAGACAACTTTTGCCCAAAAGTAGCGCCAATATGGCGCCATCATATAAACATAGGCACATTTGACGATGCTACTGTGTAGAAACATGCATAGACACAAAGTATGCAACGTTTGAAAGCCGTAGCCCCTTGTAGTTTTAGTGCAGCACATTTTGGGAGGTATGCAGTCAGGATTTTGCTGAAAACATCAACAAAAACTTCAATCCCAAATAGCGCCCAAACGGTGCATTTTAGCGACTTGAGCCGCCCAGGCTAAATTGTAGGCATTTTGATTGCGCATCTGCTCCAGAACTTTGGCAAACATTGGAGCATTAGTTACGGAGATATTTGCATTTGAAATTGAAATTTTTGAATTAATTTTGAATTATCTGCCCTTTGCTATTGGGCCTACAGCCTAGAGATTTTAAAGCGCGATATCTACACCTCGGTGGGCATCTGGGTGATTTTTGTCAAGGCATTCTGTCCAGCGGTGCTCTCTGTAGCTCTGTTACAAAATACGGCGGAAGAATAAATAATAATAATAATAATAATAATAATAATAAAAACACGAACGATTACAATAGGTCTCCTGCCTAAAGGCAAAGGAGCCCTAAAAATACATAATAATTAACCTTAATAATCAGTATAAATATCACGTTATGCATACTTCTTTCTCAATGTTACAATTTCTTTTCAGTGACAGCCCTACTGACCTCAAACTTGTTCTTCTTTCGAGGAATGTTAGGATAGTTCTTGATGCTCTCCAGGGTGCCTCGTAGTCTGGGGTTGCCTCCCCTCTGGTCATCTATGGCTGACTGGACCTGCTGTAATATCATCATAAAAAATATCAGTTACCATGGTTACAGCTTTCGTAATAACATCATCCTTTAAATTTATAAGTGAGTTACTATGATTACTAATAAATCTAAAAAATATCATAAAGCTAAGAATCAATATAGCTTTTACTACTGCAATATGACAATGAGTCTGGACCAGACAATCCACTGATTATGATTATCAATCTTTGCAACTGGGATATGATGACATGTGTCATTACTGTCAACGAAGTCAGCGAGCCTGACCACCTGAACCTGTTAGGTTCCTGTTACGAGTGAGTGAGTTTAGTTTTACGCCGCGTCTTCATCATGGTGACAAGTAGGATATGATGAGGGTATAAAGTTAAACATGTTCATTAACTCTGAATCGTTCCTTAAGAGTGAGTGAGTTATTATTTAACGTCACGTCGGCAATATTTCAGCCATATCGTGACGAGAACATATTTGATTTTGAAGTGGAATATATGTATAATATAAAAACCTGTCGACGAAAGACAGTAAAACAACTAAAATATCACAATTAGAATTAAAACTAGCGTGGAAAGTTTAAAACTAATAGCACTATAGGGACAATACAATATAAAAACAGGCTATAGATCGCCAACAACAGAAGGTAGATCACCATACTAGGGACCATGGGGACTTATAGTACCTTTGCTACCTGCATGGACCCTAGTTGGATTTACACCATCCCTTCAGCCGTTGGCGATTATAAGAAATGTTAGCCAAAATTAAAATAACAAGAATACTATGTTTAAAAATACAGGTTAGTTTAAATTGACTTTCAGAGTTTTGGGATTTACGTACCCTCTCAGGGGGACAATAATTTTACGATCGTTCCTTAAGAATACACATCAAGAACATCATGGCCTAAAAATGAAATCTTACAATTTACACAATGCACAAGCCAATAGTCTCACAGCTCCATGCACGATCATGTTACATTAACAATTTTCCTTAAGACAGGGAGATCACTCCCAATGCAGTCTTCACTAACCTCTATCCATCGATCCTGCTTGGCCTCGCCTTTGTTGACTTTGGCGACATATCCCTTCCCAGAGTACTTCTGGTCTTCACTGATACACTTTGTGTGCTTCTCGAAGTCATTTCCCCTATAGCCATGACATGAGTTGAACAAACAGGAAAACACAACAATGTATGGTATGGTTTTACAACTTCTTTACTATTTACAACACCACATTTCTAGGCTAATTCTTGCCCCTACATCAGGTGAACATGCTACTGGCATTCTTCGTAAACAGCTGTTTTTGTTGTCTAAATCACATAACAACAAGTTCAACTAGCCAGTTCAGGGAGTTAAGCATTTTTATGAGGCTTAATCGATCCATGCTTATGTAAAGTGTATAGTTGGCATAGTGGAAATGTATTTTTAGCAATGTTTATGAACACAAATAAAATAAAAAAACATATCATGTTGACATGATTATCATGATGATAGGGTGAAGTGGCGTCTTGTAATGTATTAAACGGAAATGAACCCATGGTTACCTTGACAATTAGTGAACTCGTTAGGATGAGAAAGCCACAATAACTCGGTGCGCCTAGTGGCTGCAAGAGTTGTATGCTCCCCAGGGAGTTGACATTGATAATGCGATGTGCCGTTGAGATTGACATCCAATGATCGAGGGAAAAAATACCAGCGCCTTGAGCATGCACTAGTGCGTGGATATGTGCGCTATATAAATTTCCTATAAAAATAATAACAAAATAATAATAACTCACCAGAAGTCTTGGCCACAGTCAATACAACACACAGACTGACAGTTCCGACATTTCGTCATGCAGTGTTTTTCAACCTGGTTCTTCTTAAGGGCTTCATTACATACGTTACAGGAGAAAAACACCATGGTCACGCTCAATCAGGATTTGTCTGAAAGGGCATCACAAACAATGTTGATTTTTCTGATTTACTCTAAATTAATAAAATGTTTAAAAGGAAAGACTTCCGCCTGTATCCCACCTTAAATTTAATCCTAGTCAAATCATATCACCTGAATATATATATTTATCTGATAAGAATGAGTTTTAACATATATTTTAATTGTATCTCATTGTAAAAGTTTAGGGGGGATATGGGCGGAAGTCATACCTTGTGTCAAAGAACTATGAACATAATGAAGACGAGCCTTTAGTAGCCTATTATCATACACTCTCGGTATTCTTATTTTACTTCTGCCAATGTATGGATTCATGAATTAATGTCAGTATGTGATTATTTCAAGAATATCAATATCATGAATATTTACATACACGGACTTTATAGTTGTCCGTATTATGTGCATCTGGATTATCATAATAACAAACTAACCGTATCCTGCAACACGTGTGGAAACAACCGGAAGCAACACTGTTTCCTAAAGCCGCTTCACCTCAGCGAAAAGCCCCTTACAACAAAGCAAATTAATGCCACGCCTAGACTGGTGATTTTATGAAACTTCTTTCAGTATTCGGAAACTTTTAACACATACGATAACAGGATTCATTATCAGTGATACATAGGGGCACGTCGGGAAGTTAAAAAGAATGCGCGCAATATATAAATCCATGGCGAGTGTCACAATATAGATCTACAATATTGTTATGCTAATTGTATGGGCTATATCTGTGTATGACGAAGGGAAACAGACAGACAGACAGACAGACAGGTTTTATTCAGTAATGTAGGCACAGTGGCCCATAGTACAGTTGAATTTTCATTTTAACAAATATTGGTCACGTGACACGAAATTATGGTTTTACATGTGATTTAAGGATGGACATCAAATGTTTTATGAAAATGGCAGCTGATTTAATAGTGTCATCGTTATTAGAATTAAGTATTTTATATATCGTTTGTGGGGCATCATTAAAGCATTTTAGATACTTCTTTCGGCCAGCAGAGAATGCCTCACAGTCTAATAATAAGTGACGTTCGTCTTCAGTTTTACCAGAAGAACAATGAGAACATGATAAATCTTCCAATGTATTTTATCTTTTCTATAACGCTGTATTTTTAAGGCATGTAGAGAGATTCTAAATTTACAAAAATTTCTTAAAAGGGGACTTATCATTAAGGACCTAATATATTTTTCAGGTCCGAACATCGATTTACATTGTGAATAATGACTTAGAAAACTCGATGAATTTACTGATGCGTGCCAATTCTGAATATATATATCTTTTATTCGTTGCTTAAAAGTTAACAAAAACATTTTATATCACCAACATCTTGCTTAAACCAAACATAAGAAAACCCGCTTGAAAATAACACATTTCGGACACCAGAAGCCCAAGAATACTTTCCACGTTTGTCTAGGGATAATAATAATTGATAGCTTTGATAGGGTAGCGATAATCAGGCATTCTTATAAGTTTAATCCAGTATCTGATAGCTCTCATTTGACTCTCAATATGCATGCTATAGCGGCCTGTATCGCCAAGTACGGCTTTGTTGGAAGCAAATTTACCTACAGTAAGAAATCTTTTAAAATATGATGCATGCACATTTTCTATAGCTTCGAAATAGTTTACTCCCCAAATTTCAGATCCATATAACAATATTGGTGCTATTTTAGTGTCAAAAGTAAGCAAGCTGAGTCAAATGAAATAAACTTATTAGCCTTAAACAGTTTAAAATAGGAAATAATGCCTTCTTAGCTTGTGCTGCAAGGGTTTTAGATGCCATGGACCAATTTAATCGGCTGGAAAATAGAAGACCCAAATATTTATAATATGAAACAACATTAATACTTTTGCCACGGAATAACCATTTTTCAGAATGTGCCACTATACCCCATTTCTAAAGACAACTATGTTAGATTTTTCCATATTCAACTCTAGTCCCCATGTGTCACAAAATGTTTGAAGAATATTTATCTGTCTCTGCAGTCCGTTTACCATGAATGAAAACGTAACAATATCATCTGCAAAGAGAAGCAAAAGTAAATCTTTGATTTGGGGAGTAACAAATATTCCATTATTACACGATTTATACATATCATCTACAAGTTCATTAATAAAGAAGATGAAGAGTACGGGCTTATTACACAGCCTTGTCGCACACCAACGGAAGTGTTAAACGATTCAGTGTTGCCAGAATTAGTTCTAACACAGGCTGCAACAGAGTCATACATGCTTCTTAAAATATTATACATTTTGCCATGGCATCCTTTTGGTATGTAACATAAATAGCAATTTTTACGGTCAACAAAATCAAAGGCTTTCTTAAAGTCGATGAAAGCGCAATAGAATCTCCCTTTGGTCTGCAGAGGTACTTTGTACATAATGACTGTAATATAAATAAATTATCAGTTGTACTATAATCGGATCTAAAACCAGCTTGAGCCTCGTCAAGTAGCTCGTTTAGATCAACCCAGGCGCGTAAACGCTTTTCTAATATATTAGCAAATAATTTTCCAGAAATGTTTAGAAGAGATATTCCACGATAGTTGCATGGTTCTGATACACTCCCAGACTTGAATAAAGGGACAATCATACCTATATTCCATACCGATGGGAATTTACCACTATCAAGAACTACATTAAATAAATCTTTCAAATATGACACTAAAGAAGTAAAAGTAGATTTGTAAAATGAGGGAGGGATACCGTCATGCCCCGCTGCCTTATTCCATTTCAATTCATTTATAGATTTTATTACCTCATCTTCGGTAATTGGAGTTGACAAAACATCATGCGAGAATGAAAGCTCTTCACACTCATCACAGTTATGCGTTGAGACAAAATCATACACTGATTTATCAAAATCTGAAAGCAGTTTCGTATCTCTACAGGAAAGGAGACCTTTGAAGTAATGATACCATTGGTACGGAGAAATATTATCTGTGAGAACCGTTTTCTGAAGATGGCGTTTTAACGTGCTCCAAAATATCTTACAGTCAGGATTTCTTGCTGCTATTTTAATATCATCTGCAGCTTTGGCTAAATAATTATCTTTTTTTAATTGGCAACATTTTTAAAAATTGTGTTTTGCATTCAAATAAGAATCGAGGTTAGAATCGCACTTATGCTTTCTGAAATAGTTTAAAAGTCTGTATTTTTCGGACTTAAGTTTGCCGCATTCTTGATCAAACCAAGGAGGTTGGCGCGATTGACGGTGATAGGGTGAAATGAGTCTGATGGCTCCAGCTCTAACGCCTGATAATTGAAGTAGGGATGTAATTTCAGAAATGGCAGAGTTAACATCAGTATACAGTAGGTCTCTGAAGTCATTCAGGATACCATTCTTTATGCCATCTACCAAGTACATATGAAAACTCTCTCTCTGGTCCTCCCGTAGTTTATACCCTACGGACTTGAACATGGGTATTACTGTATCGTTACTTAAGCAAGGCGCGGAGGCGATTATGTCATGGATTACACAAACAATCGGGAGGTGATCCGACTCTGAGCGAGGTTTAACCTCAAAACTATCAATATTGTTGAACATCTCAGATGAAATAAGCACATAATCAACAGTACTACAACCGGTCTTTGAAATGTAACTTAAACTTCCGGGGATCGGAAACATCGCAAAGGGAAAGAGGAAGTAGAGAGGTGTACAATATGGAGGACGCAATACATCAACGTTGTGTTCTTTTACAAGGCTTTCCTCAAACTCCTAACCCCCATCATGATATACAACGTCTTCTGGACGACCTAGCTGGGATACAGAATAGAAAAATCTGCCAACTACGCAGCCTGTCTGTCACGAACACACCGGAGTGGGTTATACTGTGCCACAGTGTGGAAGGTCAGATTTATTCTCATACTTGTTATATGTATAGCAGGGCTTACCCGGGCTAGGCAGATAGAAAAGGGAGACTAAGAGGACTGGAAAACATATCCAAGATCTGAGGATATTGTCAAATTGCCCAAGACAGGTTTTGTGCCATCAAGACATTCAGTTTTCTATGCAGAACACAGGTTTAGTGTTGTAAAGACATACACATTCCTATACTGTATACAGAGCACGGGTTTAGTGTTGTTAAGATATACAGTTTCCTATACTGTATACAGAACACGGGTTTAGTGTTGTTAAGATATACAGATTCCTATAGTGTATACAGAACACGGATTTAGTGTTGTAAAGACATACATATTCCTATACTGTATACAGAACACGGGTTTAGAGTTGTTAAGACATACAGATTCCTATACTGTATACAGAACACGGGTTTAGTGTTGTTAAGATATACAGATTCCTATACTGTATACAGAACACGGGTTTAGTGTTGTTAAGATATACAGTTTCCTATACTGTATACAGAACACAGCTTTAGAGTTGTAAAGATATACAGATTCCTATACTGTATACAGAACACGTGTTTAGTGTTGTTAAGATATACAGTTTCCTATACTGTATACAGAACACGGGTTTAGTGTTGTTAAGATATACAGATTCCTATACTGTATACAGAACACAGGTTTTGTGTTGTAAAGACATACAGATTCCTATTCTGTATACAGAACACAGGTTTTGTGTTATAAAGACATACAGATTCCTATACTGTATAGAGAACACAGGTTTTGTGCTGTAAAGACATACAGTTTCCTATACAAAACACAGGTTTAGTGTTGTAAAGACATACAGATTCCTATACTGTATACAGAACACAGGTTTTGTGTTATAAAGACATACAGATTCCTATACTGTATACAGAACACAGGTTTAGTGTTGTAAAGACATACCGTTTTCTATGCAGAACACAGGTTTAGTGTTGTAAAGACATACAGTTTTCTATACTGTATACAGAACACAGGTTTAGTGTTGTAAAGACATACCGTTTTCTATACAAAACACCGGTTTTATATTGTAAAGATATACAGTTTTCTATACTGTATACAGAAGACAGGTTTAGTGTTGTAAAGACATACCGTTTTCTATACAGAACACATGTTTTATATTGTAAAGATATAGTTTCCTATACTGTATACAGAACACGGGTTTAGTGTTGTTAAGATATACAGATTCCTATACTGTATACAGAACACGGGTTTAGTGTTGTAAAGACATACAGATTCCTATTCTGTTTACAGAACACAGGTTTAGTGTTGTAAAGACATATAGTTTCCTATATTGTACACAGAACACAGGTTTAGTGTTGTAAAGACATACCGTTTTCTATACAAAACACCGGTCTTGTTTTGTAAACATATATAGTTTCCTATGGTGTATACAGAACACAGTTTTTTGTGTTGTTAAAACACAGTTTCCTAAACAAAGCACATATTGTAAAGACATACTGATTCCTATATTGTATACAGAACACGGGTTTAGTGTTGCTAAGATGTGCAGATTCCTATACTGTATACAGAACACGGGTTTAGTGTTGTAAAGACATACAGATTCCTA